ACCTTTTTACAACATCATGAACTGAAGATCACATGTGACCATTTTACATCATGAACTGAAGATCACATGTGACCATTTTACAACATCATGAACTGAAGATCACATGTGACCATTTTACAACATCATGAACTGAAGATCACATGTGACCATTTTACAACATCATGAACTGAAGATCACATGTGACCATTTTACAACATCCTGAACTGAAGATCACATGTGACCATTTTACAACATCCTGAACTGAAGATCACATGTGACCATTTTACAACATCCTGAACTGAAGATCACATGTGACCATTTTACAACATCATGAACTGAAGATCACATGTGACCATTTTACAACATCATGAACTGAAGATCACATGTGACCATTTTACATAATGAACTGAAGATCACATGTGACCATTTTACAACATCCTGAACTGAAGATCACATGTGACCATTTTACAATGATGTCCTTGACTCGCCTGTAATGAAATGGAGTTTAGCATGTGGCTTCATCTCTGGATTATGACCACTTATTCGTTTTTCCGGACAGATTCCGTTTAAAAAATAACTTCCGGTTCGTAGACAACCGTTCGTATAGAGATGCGTTCCTTTGCTTGTCCAGTTCTTGCCACGTCTGTCCAAATACCCGCCAGTTTTACACAAACAACCGTGGCCGCTCACCACGTTAAAGCACGCATTGGCCTAACTACACGCGTTTGTGCTCGGGAGACGCCATTTAGCGGCCTCTTCTTTCAACGGTGGTTAAATTTTAAAGTGTAGCACCCAGACAATGTAGCCATCATTGACCAAAGTGTAGCCACCATTGACCAAAGTGTAGCACCCAGCTAATGTAGCCACCATTGACCAAAGTTACCCAGCCTATGTAGCCATCCCTCAGCACGCTGTACAAAGTTACCCAGGAGATTTCTAATTGACGCCCGGGACATTCATTTCCAGATTGTAAAAACCCCATTTCAAGGGCGACAACTGAAGTGAGAAAACCGTTATTTTTAGATAAATCTTTTAGCATAAATATAAGGCTGGTTTTTTCTTCTCTCCTTTCAAATTAATAATAGCTTACAGTTTAAGAGCGCATTTTTTTCCTTCCTTAAAAATACGCTGTCTGTTAAAATTTTAAAATGTAGTTGTCGATATTACATGGAGTAAAGGACTGTAAAGTCTCATCCTGCTAACACGTAAACTACAATACGGTCGTTTGCCAAAAGTTTGTCATCTTTTAATCTGCTGCTCATTCGACCTGATGTAACCCAATTTTCAAACAAACAACATCTTAGGTCATTCAACTGACCGACTGAATTCAGGTTTCAAGTCATTAATTTGGTTTTGTCTCAGGTTTCAAGTCATTAATTTTGTTTTGTCTCAGGTTTCAAGTCATTAATTTGGTTTTGTCTCAGGTTTCAAGTCATTAATTTGGTTTTGTCTCTATATAAAAAAAGTCTGTGACGTCAGCTGAGAGTATTTCCGGCGCGTGCTATTGTGCCCAGACAAAGCATTACTTTTATTTTCCTACAAAGTTAGCGGATATCACGTGACCACGTTTCTTCAGACAGTTTCCTTCGCGGGCTGGTTTATTTGTATGCGGGTAACTTATCATTAGAAAATAGATGGAACCCTGTGGGAGAGGGGCGGGTAATCAATCGCTGTAGTCGCCATTGAATTGAAGGCATCCAGTCTGACATTCCCATAGAACGGAAAATCCGAGTTTGGCGGTCACCCAGGATCTGTTGGCCAGTCTAATATGAATCAACATTCTGGGCAGTTAGCCTGGGGGGAGGGGGGGTATGGTAAATATTGGTGTAATGTCTTTGTAATCAAGTTTCATTTATCTACTACATACAACAATTTGTTTTATCGCCCTTTAAGACACCATTGGATAATATGAGTTTTATTTGCATTTCATCTTCATTGATATATCCGAATAATTGGTTTCCAGAGTAGAGTTGGCTAATGTGATCCTTATTTATATCAAGCTAGATGCACCATCTGGACGGATGTTAAATGGAGATTTTTTTTTCCCCTGGCTAATGGGTTAGAGCCCATGCCGTCATCAAATTGAGCTGATTTTTTTTTACTGCTTGACGGCCCCGCCCCTGCACATCGAACGTTGCCAGATTTTTTACCGTGATATTCAAATTATCCCCTGCAAAACTGTCCCCTTATAATTTGTTTATTTCCTTATATTTACTACCCCATACAGTGCTCGCCATTTCTCTCTTCTCTTCAGTAACATTATTATTTGAAAACTCGTTACAATAAAACGATCCTGAAATGTCTAATTATGATCTAAACTAGAACGATGTGTCCTATTTAAAACGTTTTTCTTAACTCAGCTTCGCGTTTGTTTGTTTGGATGTTTGTTGTTAAAATTGACATCGAAAATTAGCCCACTTCTGATTGCTCTACAGACCTGAAATTTGGCATGCATGCTACTTTCGCCTAACAATTTCAGATGCAATCATAAAAACTAGCAATTAGTGACCGTAATTAGCTTAATTTAATTACGCCCCAAGGACCATAAAATTGAGGACATGATTTCTAAAGATACCGACAAGACTTGAAGCCTATTGACACAGTTACTTCGGCCCCAATCGATGTGAGCGCGCTGGCCGTGATCGTATAGTGGTTAGTACTTCGCGTTGTGGCCGCGACAACCCAGGTTCGAATCCTGGTCGCTCAAGATTTTTAGTCCGTGTATTTATAAACACTTTTTTAAAAACCACGTTTTTCATGTGTAGCAACGGACTAAAAAGGAGAACGGACACGGTAACACATTGTTAACGGTGACACGGTTGGTACGCTGGGCATGCTAAAATACACATAAACACGTTTTTCCTTAACTCAGCTTCGCGTTTATTTGTTTGTTTATGGGAGATTTGATCACGTGATTCGTGAGTAGATCTCCACGCCAGCAACGTAAATTACACCCTTTCTCTGTTTAAAGCGTATCGGTCGCTCAAGATTTTTTTAGTCCGTGTATTTAAAAACACTTAGTCAAGTCATACTTAATCAAGTGATTAGATAAAGTAGAAAATAAACTATATAAAAAACTTTTTAAAAACCACGTTTTTCATGTGTAGCAACGGACTAAAAAGGAGAAAATAAAATACTTAAAAAAAACTTTTTAAAAAACCACGTTTTTCTTGTGGACTAAAAAGTAGAAAATAACTATTTACATACATTTGATGACAAAAAACGTGGGTCGGGCAGATGGGTCGGGAAATTTGATGGTGAACGTACCCACGTTTTTTGTCATCAAATGTATGTAAATAGTTATTTTCTACTTTTTAGTCCACAAGAAAAACGTGGTTTTTTAAAAAGTTTTTTTTAAGTATTTTATTTCCTAATGAGATCAAGCTCCTCTAAACATGATTAAAAAAACGACCAATCCAGACAGTCTTGTGTATAATACAGTTGATAGTTATTTATAACTTAGTCCTGCTCACGTGACTGGCTGGCAAATTGAAAACATGAATATTTATCGTTTGACTCGATGGCCCGCAACACTTTGATATTACAGAAATGTAAAGCAGGGAAACCTCAAGGGTTGCCACTCTTAATGATATTTCAAGGGATGTAACTCGTAGAGAAAAAATAAAATCAATGCAGGCTATTTCACTAGTTCAGGCTAAGCCTCTGCACAGACATGCAGGAATATAATAACGTGTTGATCAATGGTTATTCTAATTTCTGTTAGAGTATTTAACAAGCTATTTATAGTTAGTTTAATTTTTGGCTGTATTATATTCTAAACAGCTGATTTTTTTAGAGAAGGTAACTCAACTGGATTTCATAATGAATAATTAAATTATTAATCAATGATGTTTATTGTTTACCAAAAGTAAATACTACTAAACTATAGATTCTAGAATCTAGATCTTAAATACTACTGAATAGTATAGTAAAGTAAATATAACTAATACTACTAGATCTAGATCAAATTCTCTAAGAGTTAATACTAGATCTAGATCTAGATTCTAGTAATCTACTATTTTTTACTGTGATTTTTACTGTTTAATTTTAAATTAAAAAATAAAGTTTTGTGAATAGAGTATGCCTACTTACACTACTGAATACTGAAGAAGAATGTTTTCTTGAAGTGGGAGTCTTAATTAAGTGAATCTACAAAAGTTGTTTTAGTTGCTTTTGCAGCTTTAGGATATAGATCTATCTAGAATCTAGCTAAATCTGCTAAAATCTTTAATCTGCCATTGATTATTTCTTTAATCTGCCATTGATTATTTCTTTAATTTGCTATTGATTATTTCTTTAATCTGCCATTGATAGATGTTTACATTTTGTTCTAGTGTCAGTATAATTGGTGACCACCACAATAGATGTTTACATTTTGTTCTAGATCTAGTGTCAGTATGATTGGTGACCACCACAATAGATGTTTACATTTTGTTCTAGTGTCAGTATAATTGGTGACCACCACAATAGATGTTTACATTTTGTTCTAGATGTTTACATTTTGTTCTAGTGTCAGTATAATTGGTGACCACCACAATAGATGTTTACATTTTGTTCTAGTGTCAGTATAATTGGTTACCACAACAATAGATGTTTACATTTTGTTCTAGATGTTTACATTTTGTTCTAGTGTCAGTATAATTGGTTACCACCACAATAGATGTTTACATTTTGTTCTAGTGTCAGTATAATTGGTGACCACCACAATAGATGTTTACATTTTGTTCTAGTGTCAGTATGGTGACCACCACAATAGATGTTTACATTTTGTTCTAGTGTCAGTATGGTGACAACCACAATAGATGTTTACATTTTGTTCTAGTGTCAGTATGATTGGTGACCACCACAATAGATGTTTAAATTTTGTTCTAGTGTCAGTATGGTGACCACCACAATAGATGTTTACATTTTGTTCTAGTGTCAGTATAATTGGTTACCACCACACACCACAATAGATGTTTACATTTTGTTCTAGTGTCAGTATGGTGACCACCACAATAGATGTTTACATTTTGTTCTAGTGTCAGTATGATGGCTGATGATTGGTTACCACCATGATGTCATGTGATCTTTGGATGCTTGTAATGGTTCCTCTCTTCATCAGTACCATAGTGCCTTCAAAAGGTGAGAGGTCATCAATTAAACTCAAATATTCACACAGACATTTCATGTTACATATAATGGACCCATGAGATTGTTGTAAGAGAACAAATTTTGAGAGGTCTTAAAATGATATCAGCCTATTTGTATCCATTCAGCAATACTATTTTAAATGTTTTTATCATTAATCTTGACAGAATATTTTTTTTATTAATCTTGACAGAATATTTTTATAATTAATCTGACAGAATATTTTATCATTAATCTTGACAGAAAATGTATCATGTGTTATGTGTCAACTTTTTACCATTAGTAATTACAGTTACAGTAAAATTAGTGATTTAAATAACTTTTATTTAAATCTGTTTTTATAAAGATTATCATATAAAAAATATACATGTGCCCATGTTTGCTGCAAAAATAGACATGTGTTTAGCTGCCATAAATACTCTCCTAGAGTTGTCCATACAAATTCAACTTCCCCCATTTTCTCAAGGTTTGAATGAAAAATCTAAACAATTTAGACAGATATTGCATTGTTGCCAAATTATGCAGTGTAAATATTCTCCAATGACTGGTCTACTACACGCACAGAAATATTGGTTTACTACACAATCTGCCTACATTTGCCCACAGAAATATTGGTTTACTACACAATTTGCCTATATTTGCTCACTAAATATTGAGTCTAATTTCATGATCGTAGCTTTGTTGACTTGATCAGGCATGATGAGCATGAAATTAGAATTGATTTCATCACCATGTAAGGCTGCTAGCCAAGCACATCTAGTTCTGACAGTTCTAACCACAGCCAGCTTACAGCTGTAATTCAAGTTTGAGCCTCTTCAGTTTACCCTCTGGATTTTAAACTTGGAGCCTCTGTATTTTTCTCTGTTGGGGATTTATTGATTTTCATTGGAAAAATTCAAGGAAAACAGAGCAGTAAAGATAACAATCATAAATGAAGATAAAAAAAATGAAGGATTTCCTTTTAAACTGATTTTAGCATTTTGGTTTCGCTATCAATTGTGCCTACTGGCTGAAAATTTGCTCAAATTGTACAATATGGCTGATACTTGTACACCTGCTGTAGCTCTGGTGTACATTATGGCTGATACTTGTACATCTGTAGTTCAGTGTGTACATTATGGCTGATACTTGTACATCTGTAGTTCAATGTGTACATTATGGCTGATACTTGTACACCTGTAGTTCAGTGTGTACATTATGGCTGATACTTGTACATCTGTAGTTCAGTGTGTACATTATGGCTGATACTTGTACATCTGTAGTTCAGTGTGTACATTATGGCTGATACTTGTACACCTGTAGTTCATTGTGTACTTTATGGCTGATACTTGTACACCTGTAGTTCAGTGTGTACATTATGGCTGATACTTGTACATCTGTAGTTCAGTGTGTACATTATGGCTGATACTTGTACATCTGTAGTTCAGTGTGTACATTATGGCTGATACTTGTACATCTGTAGTTCAGTGTGTACATTATGGCTGATACTTGTACACCTGTAGTTCAGTGTGTACATTATAGCTGATACTTGTACACCTGTAGTTCAGTGTGTACATTATGGCTGATACTTGTACACCTTCTGAAGTTCAGTGTGTACATTATGGCTGATACTTGTACATCTGTAGTTCATTGTGTACATTATGGCTGATACTTGTACATCTGTAGTTCATTGTGTACATTATGGCTGATACTTGTACATCTGTAGTTCATTGTGTACATTATAGCTGATACTTGTACATCTGTAGTTCAGTGTGTACATTATGGCTGATACTTGTACATCTGTAGTTCAGTGTGTACATTATGGCTGATACTTGTACATCTGTAGTTCATTGTGTACATTATTGCTGATACTTGTACATCTGTAGTTCAGTGTGTACATTATAGCTGATACTTGTACATCTGTAGTTCATTGTGTACAATATGGCTGATACTTGTACATCTGTAGTTCATTGTGTACATTATTGCTGATACTTCAACATCTGTAGGTCAGTGTGTACATTATAGCTGATACTTGTACATCTGTAGTTCATTGTGTACAATATGGGTGATACTTGTACATCTGTAGTTCATTGTGTACATTATTGCTGATACTTCAACATCTGTAGGTCAGTGTGTACATTATAGCTGATACTTGTAAACCTGCTGACAATGGAGAGACTGTAGATCCTGTTACATGAACTAACTGAACAAACAAAAACAATTGTTCACATAATTTTCTGTGTGAGCCCAAAATGATATGGGCTCTTTGCTGGCTTAGAGCTACAACAATCATGAACTTTCCTGGATCCTAGGGGGTGTAGGACATGCAGGACATGTAGGGCACGCAGGACATATAGGGCACACAGGACATGTAGGGCACACAGGGCATGTAGGGCACACAGGACATGTAGGGCACATAGAGCTGTATTACATGTATATAAACAAGTGGTTTATTAACCTTTGTTGTGGAGGCGTGAGATCTGGGAGTTGGTTAACAAAGTGTACCCGTGGATAAAGTGGATATACATTGTACATTAGATTCCATTCTAAGTAGTTTGAATGAAGATATCCAGTAAACTTGTTCCATCCACTTGTTGCAGCAACCCACCCCTGCAACTACACATTCAGCTATGTGACAGGCCCAGTTGGCAACTTCAGCAGTCCTGGCTTCCCTGGCTACTACCCCTCCCTGCTCAGGTGCACCTACTTCTTTGATGCAGCCAGGAACGGAGGAGTGGAGATCAAGTTTGAGGCGTTTGAGCTGGAGGACGAGTTCGAGGATGATGATGTGTAAGTTACACATTTTGAGGATGTAAGTTTCACATTTTTGAGGATGATGTGTAAATAACACATCTTTAAGCATGATGATGTGTAAGTTACACATTTTGAGGATGATGTGTAAGTTACACATTTTTGAGAATTATGACGTGTAAGTTACACATTTTTAAAAATGTGTTATGATTTCTCTGAATGCTAAACTTAGCAGTTAAAAGACAATCTGTAAGCCATAGACTTGGGATTCCATAATGTAAAGAATTATCCGACCAACAAAAAAGCAAGTTGAAAATCTGATGAACATAATATGATAACTAGAGTGCAAATATGTGACTTTATTCATTGTGTTAAACTCATCATTATATTTTTAAATGCATTTTTATGTGTTCAATTTATCATTATATTTTTAAATGCATTTTAATGTGTTCAATTCATCATTATAATACGTTAAATAAATTCATCACTTGTGTTATTTTCCTGATAATGTGACAATTAGGCCACATATAATACATGTGCTGGTAACCCCCCTACTGCCCCTCCCCCTCCCCCCCTGTCATCCTCTCCCATGGAAATGTTTTAAGCTGTAATCAATAAATGTGAAGAGAGCAGCCACGCAACCTGCCAGCCCACACAACCTGCTAGCCCCCACAACCTCCCAGCCCACACAACCTGTCAGCCCACACAACCTGCCAGCCCACACAACCTGCCAGCCCCCACAACCTGCCAGCCCCCACAATCTGCCAGCCCACACAACCTGTCAGCCCACACAACCTGCCAGCCCACACAACCTGCCAGCCCCCACAACCTGCCAGCCCACACAACCTGCCAGCCCCCACAACCTGCCAGCCCCCACAATCTGCCAGCCCACACAACCTGTCAGCCCACACAACCTGCCAGCCCCCACAACCTGCCAGCCCCCACAACCTGCCAGCCCACACAATCTGCCAGCCCACACAACCTGTCAGCCCACACAACCTGCCAGCCCCCACAACCTGCCAGCCCACACAACCTGTTACACACAGCTCAAAAATTGGATTCCAAAAACATTCTGACAAAATTTTCAAAGGGCTTTAACTCAGGGTTGAAATTTTGTGATGTAAGCCTTGGGGTTACTCCCCTTCAAATCTCAGTAGCACAGTCTTAGGTCTTGTCAGGAAAAAATAAACTTTTTGAACATTTATTTCTTGCTTGGTTGTAACGTTTACCTATCTATCAGCCAGATAGAAGGTGAACGTCCCCGGATTCTTTTTTCGGGGTTATATGCAAATGCCTTACGGCCTAAATGGATGAACACTAACACAACGGCACACTAGGGCTCGAATTCGATGTCTAGGGAAAACTAGTGATACTATTGAAATTAACACTCATCCAATCTGCATACAACCTTTAATAAGCGAACACAGTTGTGGCAGAACACAAGGTTAAACTAGATAAAATATTTAATGTATAAAATATCAAAACCCAACTTACAAAATGTAAGAAAAAACACTATCACAGATTTCACCACTGTAAAAACTAGCCACAGGCCACACAACACTGCTATAGCTTCAAGAATTACTTGGCGACAAGTAATATTATACTAGAAGACTAAATCAACTTAAGAAAGCAAGGCACACACAGGACTTAAGTTCTCTCACGTTCAAATGGTCAGAATCTATTGCCGGACAATATGGACGGCTTGGTCGTAATGGACCCTTTGATCCTGGTAGACTGCCTGATCAAGGTAAAACTGCCACGTGTGGCGAGTGTGCGGGGCAGTTAAAGACTTCTGCCACAGGGGAGGTCATCCTCAACTCATGTAGCCATTGGTTGGGAGGGTCATATGATCAGAATCATTCAATCAGATCTTAATGGAAAATTTCTACGTCTTAGACACCTTAATAAGACAGTGGAAAAACCCCAGGAGTTACACAATCATTCCATATAAGGTATTATACAATGTCAAAATAAAAATGGAACCTGACTCGACCTAAGTAGGTCACATGGTCATTGTTTGATTTCACCTACTATATTAAAGGGTTTTCCTTTCTACATAGATCTGATAGTACGTTTTAATTTATGTCCAAATAGTTCGTGGACTGTTGTTTAAAGCATGCACTTGTTAGTTGCAGGTATGACTACATTGAGGTCTACACCCTGGACTCACAAGGGTTTAAAGCTCTACTCAACAAATTCTGCGGCAGCAAAATCCCCCAGACCATCATCTCCCCCCAGTCCAAGCTAGAGATCAAGTTCATCACTGACCACTGGCAGAACTCTGCTAGAGGCTTTTCTGGCACCTACCGCTTTCTCGGAGATGGTAAGGCTCTTCTTTTCTTGGAGATGGTAAGGCTTTCTTCTCTAGTACCTACCATTCCAGTGCTGGGGATCAGACAGTCTAGTGTTGGGGTTTTGAGAGAATATTGTAAGCAGGCTAAGGCAAGACCTTGACTACCTTTTGTTGTAAAGAAATGACAGTGTTTCATGTATGGAAAATTTGTCCAAAGCCAGAATAATTTTCTTGTTTAGTTAGTGCCTGACAGCACATTTTAAAGACAAAGGGAAACTGACAGTTGTAATTTTGTGTTCACAGGATGGTAACTGTTTGACCACAAACCTAACCACTTTAACCGTGTGTTCACAGAATGGCAACCGTTTGACCACAAACCTAACCACTTTAACCATGTTTTCACAGAATGGCAACCGTTTGACCACAAACCTAACCACTTTAACCGTGTGTTCACAGAATGGCAACCGTTTGACCACAAACCTAACCACTGCGGCAGTGAGAACCTCTCTGGTATTGCTGGCTTCATCCAGTCCCCCAACTACCCCAAGAAATACCCCAGGGGTGTCAACTGTTCCTGGGTGATCAGGGTGCCAGAGAGGCAGCAGATTCTAGTCCGACTGCTGGACCTGGATATAGGAGAAGGACGTAAGTTTTTTAACCACTCAAATAGGCAGCTGATGCACGGGTGGGGTCATTTTTAGTGATGGTCAGGTAAGTCATGTCACCTACCTGTTCCAGTAGTGATGTCGCTCACCTGTTTTAAAGGTGATGTCACTTATCTGTTGATAGGTTACGTCAGTTGCCTGCGTAGAGGTGATTTCAGTTATTTAGAGGTGATGACAGTTACTTGTTTAGAGGTGACATGATGCACATCTTCTAGTTGGGACATGACTTACCTGTTCTAGTTGGGACATGACTTACCTGTTCTAGTTGGGACATGACTTACCTGTTTTAGTTGGGACATGACTTACCTGTTCTAGTTGGGACATGACCTACCTGTTCTAGTTGGGACATGACTTACCTGTTCTAGTTGGGACATGACTTACCTGTTCTAGTTGGGACATGACTTACCTGTTCTAGTTGGGACATAACTTACCTGTTCTAGTTGGGACATGACCTACCTGTTCTAGTTGGGACATGACTTACCTGTTCTAGTTGGGACATGACTTACCTGTTCTAGTTGGGACATGACCTACCTGTTCTAGTTGGGACATGACTTACCTGTTCTAGTTGGGACATGACTTACCTGTTCTAGTTGGGACATGACTCACCTGTTCTAGTTGGGACATGACTTACCTGTTCTAGTTGGGACATGACTTACCTGTTCTAGTTGGGACATGACTTACCTGTTCTAGTTGGGACATGACTTACCTGTTCTAGTTGGGACATGACTTACCTGTTCTAGTTGGGACATGACTTACCTGTTCTAGTTGGGACATGACTTACCTGTTCTAGTTGGGACATGACTTACCTGTTCTAGTTGGGACATGACTCACCTGTTCTAGTTGGGACATGACTTACCTGTTCTAGTTGGGACATGACTTACCTGTTCTAGTTGGGACATGACTTACCTGTTCTAGTTGGGACATGACTCACCTGTTCTAGTTGGGACATGACTTACCTGTTCTAGTTGGGACATGACTTACCTGTTCTAGTTGGGACATGACTTACCTGTTCTAGTTGGGACATGACCTACCTGTACCCTTGACCTTACAGCCAAGTGTGGAGACTCCAAACTTCTACTCTACAACGGTTACGCCACCCCCTTGAGTGTCCAGACACTGGAGTGGTGTGGACACAAGTCCCATATGGACGCGGATGAACTCCAGTATGTGACCTTCACCAACAGAACTGTGGTCAGATTTGTCTCAGGGCTCAGAAACAACAACCACATTGGCTTCAAACTCATGTGGATGGCTGTCTCTCTACCTAAAGAGTCGGGTAGGTTTTAAATGTTGGTCACCACACTTTGTGCTACATTAGAGTCACATAGAAATAAATGGTTCAATTAGGCAGTGGTGTATTTGACTGATTCAGGCAATCAGAGTGGATCTTGAGGTAACTACGGCAGATTTGTCTTTACTCTTGAGGCATAGAACAATGTTTTGAAATAGATTAGTTAGACATAGCTTCCATCATGTCCTGATGGCAAACATTCAAAAAGTTGCTGCCAACATTCACTGAGACTTTTTATTTTCAAAAGTTACATCTTATATTTTAGAAGTCTGTAGGAGCTTCCAGTGTGAAGGGGGCAAGTACTGTTTGAATGGGCAGCCATGCAAGCCCCTCCCCAAGTACTGCATATCCCAGAAACTGGTGTGTGACGGTGTCAGGAACTGTGGGCCCTTTGATGATAGCGATGAGAGGAAATGTAAGTTGTAGATAGCGATGAGAGGAAATGTAAGTTGTAGATAGCGACGAGAGGAAATGTAAGTTGTAGATAGCGACGAGAGGAAATGTAAGTTGTAGATAGCGACGAGAGGAAATGTAAGTTGTAGATAGCGACGAGAGGAAATGTAAGTTGTAGATAGCGACGAGAGGAAATGTAAGTTGTAGATAGCGACGAGAGGAAATGTAAGTTGTAGATAGCGACGAGAGGAAATGTAAGTTGTAGATAGCGACGAGAGGAAATGTAAGTTGTAGAGAGTGATGAGATTTTTATGGACAAAGGGAAACAACCAAGTTAATATACTTTTTGATAAATAATTTAGGCTCTTGTTATCTTTTATTACTTTCTCCTATGTATGAAGTATTGGAATTGTGCAAGAAATTGAAATAGAGATTTTTACAAATTTTGCCGTTTTACACCTGCAATTTTGTCCATAGCTGGTTGTCCGTGAGCACGATAACTTGAGTACCATTACAGAAAGGCTGATGAAATTACATATATAAGTATTACATCAAATTTGTTCTGTATCAACATTTCAGCGATTTCCGGTAACCTGAAGTGGAACTTATTCTACTTTTGGTTCTTCAAAAGCCTATGACTTGAGCACTGTTTCATACAGATAGACAAAATTTTACATATAAGTAAAAGATCTAATTCTCTGCCTTCTCTCTTCTTTGTTCTTCTGTTGGAAGGGATCCCCTCCAACACAGTTAAGTATACGTGTCAACTGGTTATGCGCCATTGACTCTGATTTCAGCCTGCTTTTCTTTTTGGATTTGCTTCCATAGCCTTTGTCCAGCCAAGAACAAACTACAAGGCAGCAATTGTTTGATTCTGGAGTTGTCTCTCCTAGAAGAGTGGCTGTCCCCAACAAGCCTCTTCTCCCTGTGGGTTCGAACTCAATACTTTTTGGTTTAGCAACCATTAGCTGTACCGACTCAACCACGCTGACCCCTTGCCTTCTTTCAAATTTTGAGTAATTTCCATTTTCCAGAAGTACTTTACACAATTTCCGATATCTAAAAAAAAACGCTTTTCAATTTATAAAGTACTAATAATATTCTGCACTATTATACAGATATTGTTTGCCGTTCACTTGGTGCACAATTCTTTTTTCTACGAGATTATATTCTATTTTTAGAAGTTTAAGTTTATATATTTAGAGAGAGAGATTAAAAAAGATCATTTTTAAACATTTTTGTTTTTTAAATAGCCAAAAAGCTTTTTACATGTAATATTAGAAGAATTTAAATAAGGAAAATTTGAAAATGCAGATTTGGCTGTTATTGAGGTTTGCAAAAGAAATTGAAATCCTCATTAAAACATTAATTTTAATGGTCTGCTGAATCATGAAATCCATTTGATGTACTTCTAGTGAATTGTTTTTTTTGTGTTGTTTGTTAGTTTTGAGATAGTTTATGCTTGAATGCCTCTTGTACTTTCATTAAGATTCCCAATGATTGTCTGACACTAAAACAAGTAGATCTATAACTCAAGACATGTTTTGTAGTTGATTTCTTTTGGTTACCATTGATAGCTTTGTACTATCAGAATCTCTGATTGTGTGTGTTGAAGGTACCAAAGAGATCCTCATCATTGCTGCCTGCATCTCTGTACCCAGTATTGTTCTACTCATGCTGGTAGTGCTCATCACCTACTGTTACAAGACCCGGCACGTCAAGAAATCTTTGTCACAGGACCAGCCACTGACCAACAGTCAGAGTCAGGTTTGTATCACTTCCTACATGTCAGATGGCATTTTATCACTTCCTACATGTCAGATGGTATTTTATCACTTCCTACATGTCAGATGGTATTTTATCACTTCCTACATGTCAGATGGCATTTTATCACTTCCTACATATCAGATGGTATTTTATCACTTCCTACATGGCAGATAATATTTTATTTCTCGTAATTCTTTAAGTCTAAACACTTTATGAAAATAAAATAATAAAACTAAATTGTTTGTCTCCAGAAGTTTAGCTACATCTATTTGAAATCTTTCCTTAGGGTACGACGTCGCACGACTCTTTTCCAAGCAACAGCCGGCAGATGATGCTCCACACTAGTTTTATGGATGGCGCCAGCCCTTTCACCTCTGATCCTCCTGACCTCAGCGACACTGACCCGGTGAGTTGGGTCAACTTTAGGGAGATAACCATGGTGTTGATCTCTGTGGTGACCTAAGTGTTGACCTCTGTGGTGACCTAAGTATTGACCTAAGTGTTGACCTCTGTGGTGACCTAAGTGTTGACCTCTGGTGACCTAAGTGTTGACCTCTGTGGTGACCTAAGTGTTGACCGAGCTAATACTCCCCTCTCTCTACAGACAGCAGACAACAGTCTCTTCACTGATGCAGTTACTGGCAGTTTAAAATCCCACAAAAAGAGGCCTTCATATCACATGATGCAACTGAACTACGAAGATGGAAATTTGATGACGTCACAGATCTAAGCAGCAGCCCCACCACTTTACACAGCAAACTCATCTAAACATTAAATTATTAATTATAGAAAAATTATGTCTTTTTTATGCTAATTACATTAATTGTACAGTTATTTTACAGCAAGAATTTCTGGACATGATATTTTATGGTATAAAAACATGAGAACTAAATGTTGTTTGCTTGTCATGTTGGCCATTTGTGCATTGGTGATGTTGGCCAACTTATGTGCTAGTGATGTTGGCCAACTTATGTGCTAGTGATGTTGGCCAACTTATGTGCTAGTGATGTTGGCCAACTTGTGTGCTAGTGATGTTGGCCAACTTATGTGCTAGTGATGTTGGCCAACTTATGTGCTAGTGATGTTGGCCAACTTATGTGCTAGTGATGTTGGCCAACTTATGTGCTAGTGATGTTGGCCAACTTATGTGCTAGTGATGTTGGCCAACTTATTTGCAAGTGATGTTTGCCATCAGTGTATTGTTAGTTTTGACTGACTTTATGAGTAAAAAGTTGAACAATTCTAAATTGAAATATTTTCAATACCTTGTATTTATTTAAGATCAAATAGTTACTTTTCATGACAGCTAAAATATTTCCTTGTAAACATGTTTAAAAATGTACCCTTACCTCTAGGTGAATGTGTTAAAATAATATTTGTATCATTAAAGTCAAAAGGATGGGTCAAGCAAATATTTCAGCCAAACTAAGTTTTTTGTTCACTGTAGTTTTGTTAACTAGCCCTAACATCCAATGTGGCAAGTTGGCCAGCACCTTTGTATAAATATTGTTTTTGACTGGCTGAACTTAACAAGAGCTGTCATACTCTCTTCTCCTGACTGTGCACTAAATACATTCCCACAAATTTATATTTACACTGGCCATCCTTGATCTAACTCTCCCAATGTTCATTAATTTAAAACAAATTGTTTTAACATATTTTTTTAACTGAACTCATAAACTGTTACTAACAATAAATTTTAATTTTTTTTATTTTCCTGAATACAACTGTTGAGGTGCTAAAGAATAACCATTTTGTTACATTTTATTTCAGTTTCATACAAGGAAAATGATAATTTTAGCAATAAACTTTCAGCATTGTCTGCCCCTGTTGTACATGTAAAAGTAAAACTGGAATGCAAATGAGTTAATTTGATTATTTTAATGAAACTTGTGTTGCATGTTGCACAAAATATTTCAAATGTCTTTTTTATAAAATAAGTATTATATTTTATTTTAAAAGTCTTTTTTATAAACTAAGTATTACATTTTTTATCTGTAATGTTTTATTTATCTCTGTTGTTATAATTTTTTTTACAATTTTCAATTTTACACACTGACTGTAGTTAGGCCCTACAAAATGTTATTTTACAATTGAAGCAATTATTGGTACAAAATTATACAGTTTGGTAGCTGTGAATAGTTTTTGTGCATCTTTAATTAATTCATTAAGTTATACCTGTGAAGTGTTTTATAATTTTAAAAATGTTTTAGCAGCAATCATCAATTTTATATTTATCCTGTTTACATTGTTTTCTTTACACAAGTCACACCAGCTGTATGTCATTTTTTTTACATTGTCCATATGTTTTTTTTTGTCAAGATGTTTTAATTCGGAAATATTTTTTATATTTGTGTTTTTGAAATATTTTTTATATTTGTGTTTGTGCCATTAGGAAACTTTATTTTTATCTGTATTAAATTTCTTCATTCATGGCAATACAGAGCTGGGTGCAAATACTGTGGCTTTTTTGTCAGTTAAAAATGGTACAAGACAACCAATTCTGATGTGCAACTTTTTAAATTGTTGTATCACTTGGACACTATTTTAAATAATTTATTTTATTCTTACTTACTTTTCTATACTAAATAAAGACACTTTCTATAGATTTGTTAAGACTTTTTACACAGACTTGAAGAATAAAAATGTGTAATATTTAAAATGTCGTTTCAGGCACAAAACAGGAGTCCCAATTTTTTTTTTCCCAGTCAGTGTGAGACTTACCAACAACTCTGTTAACAGATTCAACTTTATTAACACATTAGCTGCACAAAGAACAAAATAACACTAACACACTGGGCAATTCATTTTTTTTATTTCTTTTATATTTTTTTATACTGTACAATAACTTCTTTTGATATTTTGTCAAAGAAGACAAAATAAGAAAAGAAAAAATGTGGTCATAGAAATACAACCAATGTATTTCTGGCCCATCTAATTCCCTCAACCAACAAAAATGGTCACAGAAATTCAATAAAGAAACAACAGAGGTTCAATAATCAATCCATCAATCAATCAATACTATATTGTCATTGAATAAATCAGTTTCTTGAAATATACTTTCAAAAATAAAATGTGTATGTAGACATAGTCAATTCTTATTTACAAACTTTATAAAAGTTTTGCCAAAGTGCAGAAAAAATGTTTCTGCAGCGCAAACAAAATGATTTGACAGACTGAATGATTTGACAGACTGAATGATTTGACAGACTGAATGATTTGACAGATACAATGTTTTGAGAAAGATGATTACACTTCACAGGACACATCCTTTAAATGTGTCATAGTTCCAAAATTCATAAAGCAGATTTAAATTGGAAAGGACAGCGCAACAGCAGAATACTTTTTAATCAAATAACTTTACCAATACAACATCATGTGATGGGTCACAGTACGTCCACAAGTTGGAAGGTCAAACAACAAGAAGAAACAATGCCTCATCTAACTGACAGGCGCAGTTAGATAAAAAGAAATGAAGATGAAAATGACTAGCAAGTACGCACACATCAACCACAAGCTCTCCCTAACAAATTATTTTTTCTTATATCACTTGCAGCTATTGGCAAAAAAAAATTCAGTCTGTGATGATGAAAGAGGGCAGTTTACCAAACTCAAGGCACCAATGGTGACAATCAAATCATGGCCTCTAGTGACTATTGTACAATAAGTATTCATATTCCCCATCAAACATAATATAAATGAGTTAAATAAGTAAAAGAGAAATAGACATCACAATTGAATAAAGTGAAAATATCTTTGCACTTTTTATCACTCAAGTTTTTCACAATTTTAAAACATAATTCTAGTAAAACTATTCTCTCCCCTTTACTTTTTATAATTTAATTTTATATATACAAAAATATAGTGAAACTATTTTTTTTAAATTCTCAACATAATTGTTAAAATGAATCTAATGCTATGAAAGACCCAGAGTTCTGAGACATGAATACTACACTAAGAGAATAAAAGTTGATTTAAAACTACTGGGGAAATCCCATTAAGTTACATCCAGTTGCAAATCTAAATTTAGCATTCACATGGTTAAAATAAATATAAATAAATACTACATTTATTAAATTGACATTCAAAATCTTAGAGACACCACCCTGAACACAAAAACCAACTATCCTGTGTATGATAATGATACGGACACAAATACCTCTCCTGTGAAAAAAAGCATTTTATCAATGCATACATTATGAAAAAAGTAGGACGAAATTTTGAGCCAAGCAATTTTAACGTAACACATTTTTTTTATCAATCCTAGCTATCTGCAATTAATTACTGGAGAAGGAAAAATTATTTGTGGTATTTAAAAACAAAGAACTAGTAGTATAAAACAGGATAGGCTATTTTAAAATTTGGTTTTACATCAAATTAAAATAGTAAAGTACAGAGAAAATAATCTCTGAATCCTAAGGCCTAGTATAAAGTAACGTGTGCTATAAAACATGAAATGTATTTCAAAATCAACACTGAAACATAAATGCTTTGTCAGTGCTATATTTAAAGACAATGCCATTCTGGTCAACTTGTTACAAACATGGACGAGGAAATTAAAAACAGGGAAGAAAAATGCTGAGAATAAAGCACAGACCCTAAGACAAATTAAATTACAAAATAATATTTGCAGATGGGGGGGGGGGGGGGGTTTGTTTAGAAAAAAGACAGTAAAAATCTTAAGTTCAAAGATAAAAATCTAATTGCAGCCAATTAAAATATATTTTTTTCTATAAAAATAACATTGATGGGGGGTGCAAAAATGCTTTAAAATTTTGTATTAACACTTAGTAGAGGAATCAGACAGAGTTACTGATAAAATCATCACCAACATAAAACAAAAACCAACAAACATTTGCTAATAAAACACTGACCAATGAAAGCATAAATAAAACCCCAGTTCTACAGCTAAATGTTACCACACCATTGGTCAGTTCCATCATTGTCCATGGGAAACAGTTGCATCATCGTGTGACTGACTTAACCAAAGGACAGCTGGACTGAGGGACCAATGAACCATTATAAAATATTTGGATAAAAAAAGTAGAAAAACTCGTAGAATACTGGGATCAGAGCTATTGCCAGAAATGATTTTAAATTCTCACACTACATCAACCTCCCCCCACCCCTCAACCCCAAATTTGAATAAAGTGAGAAATGAAAGTTTTACCCTATAATTTTCACTGACCACTGGTCAAACTTGATATGAGAAATTGGGATGAAGATGATTTTAACTTAAACACTGGACGGCAATAATATACAAGTCAAAAATCAATGTAAAAAAAATTCACTGGACCAAGCATGGATATTTAGTCTCAGGTGTTCCCTTCAGGTTTGGGGGGGATTCTCTTGTAAGTTCATGCAACACATGAAGGGGTGAGACGAAATATAGTGCTCTTACATTTCTCTAACTAATTATTTTACTGCCTTTTTCAATGAACAAAAGAAAATCAGGTCTTCAACCAAGTTTAATTTTTTTTTTTCAATACTCAGATCTGTAGCCATTTCTAACCTTTACAAGTTAGACAAGATCTTCTATAATGAAGTCAAAGTTCTATTTAACTTTAGTGCCCAAATAAAAAAAAAAAGTAAAATAATGTTGACATTTGATAAATGTCTGAAAAAATAAAAAAAACTGGTTCATTGGTCAGACATTTTAAAATCAGGCGCGTTCCAGTACCCAGCACTAATTGAGCCTAATTGTCTAGGGCAGTGTTGCTATCAAGACCATGAAAAAAAGGAGAAAATGGAAGTTTATGAAGTCATGTAATAAAACAAACCAATCATTTGCATAATGAGCACATAATGTGTGCCTCCCACCCCTCAACAACACTCATCACAATAAAGCAGTTGGTCCAACAGAAACAGCTCAGTTTAACAGCAAACAAATTTTGGTTCAAATGATGTTCAAATCTTTTGGATGTTCAAATCTTTTGGATGTTCAAATTTTTTGGATGTTCAAATCTTTTGGATGTTTAAATGTTTTGGATGAGAAGTAAAATTAGAAACCCAAAAGTCAACCTGTGCACTAAGGTTTTAGTTTTTAAAATTTAGTTTCAGCGTGTGGTCGTTACTGGTGTAGATATGGCTGGCAGTGAAAAGTATTTCAACTTTTGTTGAAAAAAGACGTTTGAAGTTAAATGAGTTTGAACTGAGAGAAAAAATATGATGTGTACAATTAGGGTATGTACATTCAGCAAGTGGCATGCTGAAAACATCACAAAATCACATGTCAAAATTTGCATGCACATTTTTATCTACTTCAGCATGTAGCTGTCATGCAAATCAATAGTAGATTTTGTGTGTTAAAAAGTATGTTAAAATTAACATCACCATTTTTATAGGAAAAAATAGTTACAATAGTATAATTTTTATGGACATTTCATAAGTCAAATAAAAAGAAAAGCAGGAAAAAATGCAAAGGAAGAATTTAAAATTTGCATCTAGCTCCTGTGGGCTATGAGATTTTCAGTTCTAATATTTCTCTCTATTTTTAACAAATAAATTTGTTTATTAATTGTCTTAAACTATGTCAAGTTGGCTAAATCATGACATTCAACTTTCTAGTGGGTTACGTGTTTTAGAATTGATAAATTCACCTAAGCAGTTTCCATTTCTGCTGACATGTTGTGTATCCTTCCATTTTTCAACAAATCCGGGTGTGTCATCTTGATGTCTGGCATGACGGGGCTGTGACGGTACGAGTCCCTCATGACGTCGCTGTTGTTCTCCATGTTGGCAGCCACAACCATGATGACAGTTGTGTCGGGGGTCGTTTTGCCACCTGGGAGAATCTCAGCCCCACCCATCAAATCAACGCCTGGACTGGGCAGGTTTGTTTTCTCCACAGCCTGGTCTGACAGGGGGCAAGACAAAGCATTTTCCCACGGCATCGTCCGGTAGTCATCACAGTAGTCCTCTTGCTCCACAGACATCAGCATACGAGATTTTACTGAAACACAGACAAATCACATTATAAACAGATGTGTGATTGTACTGAAACACAGACAAATCACATTATCAACAGATGTGTGATTTTACTGAAACACAGACAAATCACATTATCAACAAATGCGTTATTTTACTGAAACACAGACAAATCACATTATCAACAAATGCGTTATTTTACTGAAACACAGACAAATCACATTATCAACAAATGCGTTATTTTACTGAAACACAGACAAATCACATTATCAACAAATGTGTGATTTTACTGAAACACAGACAAATCACATTATCAACAGATGTGTGATTTAACTGAAACACACACAGACAAATCACATTATCAACAGATGTGTGATTTTACTGAAACACACACAGACAAATCACATTATCAACAGATGTGTGATTTTACTGAAACACACACAGACAAATCACATTATCAACAGATGTGTGATTTTACTGAAACACAGACAAATCACATTATCAACAAATGTGTGATTTTACTGAAACACAGACAAATCACATTATCAACAGATGTGTGATTTTACTAAAACACGCAAACAAATCAAGAGACGTCTAAATAAAAATCTCAAAATAAAAAGGAAATATTTCACTAGAAAACTAAATTCCTGTTTTTAGTTTACCAACAAAAAATGTCTCCTGACAAGGGAAAAAACATGTTTGTAACCTAAAGTTAATGATGTGGGTAAATTGTGAAGAGACTAGAGTTTGATGACATCACTTGCTGCAACAGATGGACTAGTCAGCTCTCTTATTGATTCACTACCTCTATAAATAGATCTTATGCCCAGAACAGATAACACAACAAAGTCAACTTTTAATATTTTCTACAGTTTAGAAAAACTTTATCAAATTATTTTCTTTTTGTTGTTGATTCAGCCAATAAATAATGTCAAGTTTTTATTGCCTAAGACACCTTTATTTATCTCTAGTGAAGGAAATTTTTATTCTTGGATGCCTGAAAGTCCAGGACATGATGTTAGCACACAAGAAAAAAATGTGTTTAAGTGATATGCAGGAAGAGCTAAACAAAGATTAAGAGCTTAAGATAATGAGCTGATGATAATACATTAACTTTCAAGTGAAAATACTTGTTGGTTAGTAAATGGTCCCACAGCTTACAAAACCCACAGGTAACTCATCCACCTGGATGAGCTCAAGTCTTACCAGTGACAAATATAGTACCAGGTCAAGGTCATGTTACACCTGGCTAAAGTAAAAGGTCAAGGTCACATAACATCTGACTAAAGTAAAATAAAAAAAAGGTGAACAAATGAAATGGCTGACTGGATAACCTGGAGACTTACAATTGGGGGTCGTGTACGGATTAGGCATGTCATTCTCCGTCATCATCCGAGGTCCCATCTCCTTCTGTGGCAAGACTGGTTGTTGAACAAATCCAAGCATGGGGGGTTTGGTGGAGTAGCCAATGTTTAGGTTGGATGGTGACATGCTGCCCAGAAACACCGCAAAGCAAAACACTAGAACCTGCAGTGGTGGAGGAGGTCAGCCCTCGTTAGCATCATTACAAGACAAAAATCTGGCAAGTGGCTGTGTGTTGGTGTGGAAGGTTGAGGTCACTGAGGTTTTTTAACTAACTTCAGCACCACTGGTACTGGGTGAGTTACTGTAAAACATAGAAGTCACCACTAGCACTGGGTGAGTTACTGTAAAACATGGAAGTCACCACTAGCACTGTGTGAGTTACTGTAAAACATGGAAGTCAACACTAGCACTGTGTGAGTTACTGTAAAACATGGAAGTCACCACTAGCACTGTGTGAGTTACTGTAAAACATGGAAGTCACCACTAGCACTGGGTGAGTTACTGTAAAACATGGAAGTCACCACCACTGCCTTTACCACAGTCCCTCTGGAGATGGTGGATATACAAGATGAACAATAATTTTGGGCTTTTGTTTGACAGACTTCTATAATATTTCAATAAAATTTAAATAGTTGTAAGTTTACATCCAACAGACATCTTCTTGTGTTAAAGTTAATCTTCAACTGTTGATGCATCCCACTGTGCTAGAGAATTGAAAACAAAATCAGAAATTCGTTTTCTAATCTAAGTAAAATTTATACCAAACAAGTTTATTCAAATGTATATTAAGCAAGGTAAAGTCAAATTTAAATTTAAATCAAGTCAGATAAGTTTGCAAATAAAGTCATATATTAGTATGACTGTAAAAAATGGAATCAACTAAATTCCAAACAGATATTTAAACATATTGTTCATCTTGATATCCACCATCTCAAACATGGCTAATGTAAGCAATATATTTTATCCAATGACCAAGAGATTAAAATAAAAAACCAAAACACAATATCTTTGTAAACAAATAAATGGGTGATGATGAAGGGGGGGGGGGGGTGATGTGATAGTCACATAAAAGACACAGACGTATGAAATAAATACACCCCAAGGTGGGTAAAGATAATAGACATTCCCTGTACCATGTATCACGGTGAATGCTAGGTTTATGTATACGTACAAATATGAAGGGGTATGAAATACAACATTAAACTATAATCTGAGTAGGCTGAGTTAATACCACCTCTACCAAAATAAAATATATTTCCAAAAAAATGGTGCAGATGAAATAAAATAGTTTGGTTTAGAGAGCTGCCTACTATATTAAAAATATCAGTAGTAATAGTGTTTTATTTTAAATTTAAGTAAATGACTTTTAAAAGCGATTCACTTTTCACACTAATTAATATTCATTTTTTTTCGACCAATTGTGATTACAAAAAAAGCATAATAGGTAGGCTATTTTGATAAGTCAAGGCAAATTGAGAACCATTTGTAAACAGGTCACTATAATTCATGAGTGAAACTTGTCAGATAAGAAAGTAAAAGTAGGCAGCCCTATTTTTTAGACAGGACTTAAGTGAATGAATCCATGTTGAGGTGGGTGAATGGAACAGTCACTAGAGGTAACTCAAGCTACTGACCATCAATGCTGTCCCTGTTTGTGTTGCTGAAGCTGCTGCTGCTTTGGGCATTTTGCTGACCAGTGACTGTAGCTTTTGGAGTTGACCCAGCAATGACCTGGAGGATGACCAGCAATAAGTTAGCCAATCATTTACCCATTCCAATCATTGACCCATTCCAATCATTGACCCATTCCAATCATTGACCCATTCATGCTAGTTACAACAAATGTAACCAAGTACAACTGTACCCATTTATACACAAATTGATCTCAAACAATACTAGCAGTTGAAAACAGCAGTTACCTATTATTGTTTTCCAGATTTTCAACTTTTTTCTTTAAATCGTTGTTCTCGTGATTGTAAGCTTCAACCCTAACAACAGAGAAAAAATCCAATAAAGAAAATTGAACAATAAAGAAAATGATAAATTGATTAAATAAATCCTGGTAGCCAGAAAAGAGGCAATATAAGAAGTGTAAGGTGAAGCAACATATGATTGTATGTAAGGAGAAGCAACATATGATTGTATGTAAGGAGAAGCAACATATGATTGTATGTAAGAGGAAGCAACATATGATTGTATTTAAGGAGAAGCAACATACGATTGTATGTAAGGAGAAGCAACATACGATTATATGTAAGGAGAAGCAACATACGATTGTATGTACTTTGAAGACAGAAATGCTTTCACCTTTTTTCCAAAGCCTCGAGGTACTCTTTCTTCTTCCTGCGACTTTCTTGAGCAGATATCTGTGGAGAGGAAATTTCCTTTAGGCCAACAAGAATTGATGCAATCACTTCATTGTTTTCTTACAGGATCAATTGTTCTAATTATTTAAATCATCTTTTTTCTAATTAAACAAGTGACTCAGGGGTAAGCTGAGCAATAATCAATTGTTTAATTAGGTCAAGCTTTGACCTACTTCTTCATAATGCTCAACTGGTTTAGGGAAACGTATTAAAATGACTGAAAAAGTTAAAGTGATTGTGTGATACACAACAAACTACTGTGATACACTTGTTTTAAAAAACCGAGGTGAAAATGTTAATATTATTCAAAGAACTCATTGGTTGATGATTTTCAAAAATGCCATGAACTTGTTACATATATTTTTTTAAATAGGGATGCTAAGGTAAAACTCAGCTGTTGGGGGGAGGGTGTGAACTATTGTCTAGCACACTGTGAACTTTTGCTATGAACAATCTTGAGAGTGGTCTTACCTTGTTTTTAATTTTCCTGCGGATTTTCTTCAGATTCTTTTCCTCCTGCTTGGTGAGTGGGAGTTTGGTGGGGATGGGGTAGCCCTCGGATATCAACGTCCTCTTCTCTTCCTCAGACAGGATCAAAACTCCCGACTGCGAAATCTGGGAGTTAAAGGGTTAACAACCTTAGTTAAAGGGTTAACAACCTTAGTTAAAGGGTTAACAAGCTTAGTTAAAGGGTTAACAACCTTAGTTAAAGGGTTAACAAGCTTAGTTAAAGGGTTAGCAACCTTAGTTAAAGGGTTAACAACCTTAGTTAAAGGGTTAACAAGCTTAGTTAAAGGGTTAGCAACCTTAGTTAAAGGGTTAACAACCTTAGTTAAAGGGTTAACAACCTTAGTTAAAGGGTTAACAAGCTTAGTTAAAGGGTTAACAACCTTAGTTAAAGGGTTAACAACCTTAGTTAAAGGGTTAACAACCTTAGTTAAAGGGTTAACAAGCTTAGTTAAAGGGTTAACAACCTTAGTTAAAGGGTTAACAACCTTAGTTAAAGGGTGCAAACAGTTGCCTGGTAAATGTATGGATAGAGGAGTGATGAAACCTGCAATACATTGACACCCACAAGGTACCAGATCTTTGATCACATTTTTGGAGCAGCAGTTTAGATGTGGTTTCAGCAGATGCCAGGGGTCAAAGTTCATTCAATGACAGTGGTGTAGGCAGAAGGTGTTTTGGGTTTAGACCCCCCCCCCCTAAAATATGACAACTATCTTGTTTTTAAGTTAACTTAAGGTGACACATAGCTCATGCTGATTTTAATTTTAAATAGTTCAAATAGCCAATAGCATAACACTTTACTTTCTCAAAAACATAATGATTATATATATATATATATATATATATATATATATATATATATATATATATATATATATATATATATATATATATATATATATATATATAATCTGAAACCTTATAGTTAACATCCCCCAAAAATCCTGGCTATTGGCTGAGCCACTGTTCAATGATGTGTAAGTAAATCAGGTATTTAATGTAGGTCATCAATTAAAGTATTACAGGCTTCTGATGTAGGTCATCAAAGAGTATTATACAAGGTAAACAGGGACATTATATAGGGCCTAGAACTTGCTGCTACCTTCTGTCTATTCTCTCAACGTCAGCTACAGTGAGGAGAAGGGGAGCTGGTGTACGGTGGGTATGTGTGGAGAGTGGGTCTGTGTGTATGTGTGTGGGGTGGGTCTATGTGTGTGTGTGGGGTGGGTCTATGTGTGGGAAGTGGGTCTATGTGTGTGGGGGTCTAAGTGTAGGTAAGTTATGGTCTGACCACAGAGAATCTAGTAAGAAACACCAGGGATGAGTAAAGATTTTGACCAAGCTGGTCTCCTACATAAGGAGATAAACAAATGGGTCAGGGAAACTACAGGTGACAGCACACAACCTCATGTCTAGACTCCACAGGTGGGACACTGAGTCTAGTGTGGTGTATACCACATGTGGTGGTACAGCGTGGTTGTACAGCCCATGTGGTTGTACAGCCCATGAAGTTGTACAGCCCATGAAGTTGTACAGCCCATGAAGTTGTACAGCCCATGAAGTTGTACAGCCCATGAAGTTGTACAGCCCATGAAGTTGTACAGCCCATGAAGTTGTACAGCCCATGAAGTTGTACAGCCCATGAAGTTGTACAGCCCATGTGGTTGTACAGCCCATGTGGTTGTACAAACATACCCACAAATTGCCACACATAAACCTTTTTTTTTAGTAACTGTGATCTATTTAAATTAAAATTGTTATCTCAGCTGAACAAAAAGACTTCAAACTAATCTGTATGGCATTAATAGACAGTTATGGTCTGTATGGCATTAATAGACAGTTAGTCATGCGGCTTCTTCTCCCATTTGTTTCACCCCCCACCCACACTCAAACCCTCCCTAAGTAATGTTCCAGGTACAAAAGTAAACATCCGGGAAACTATACTACACATACAGGTAGACTTGATGGAGATTAAACTACACACACGCAGGTAGACTTGATGGAGATTAAACTACACACACACACACACACACACAGGTAGACTTGATGGAGATTAAACTACACACACGCAGGTAGACTTGATGGAGATTAAACTACACACACACACACACACACACAGGTAGACTTGATGGAGATTAAACTACACACACACACACACACACACAGGTAGACTTGATGGAGATTAAACTACACACACACAGGTAGACTTGATGGAGATTAAACTACACACACACATACAGGTAGACTTGATGGAGATTAAACTACACACACACACACACACACACAGGTAGACTTGATGGAGATTAAACTACACACACACACACACACACAGGTAGACTTGATGGAGATTAAACTACACACACACAGGTAGACTTGATGGAGATTAAACTACACACACACATACAGGTAGACTTGATGGAGATTAAACTACACACACACATACAGGTAGACTTGATGGAGATTAAACTACACACACACAGGTAGACTTGATGGAGATTAAACTACACACACACACAGACTTGATGGAGATTAAACTACACACACGCAGGTAGACTTGATGGAGATTAAACTACACACATACAGGTAGACTTGATGGAGATTAAACTACACACACACACAGACTTGATGGAGATTAAACTACACACATACAGGTAGACTTGATGGAGATTAAACTACACACACACAGACTTGATGGAGATTAAACTACACACACGCAGGTAGACTTGATGGAGATTAAACTACACACACACATACAGGTAGACTTGATGGAGATTAAACTACACACATACAGGTAGACTTGATGGAGATTAAACTACACACATACAGGTAGACTTGATGGAGATTAAACTACACACATACAGATAGACTTGATGGAGATTAAACTACACACACACAGGTAGACTTACACACACACAGGTAGAATTGATGGAGATTAAACTACACACACACAGGTAGACTTGATGGAGATTAAACTACACACATACAGGTAGACTTGATGGAGATTAAACTACACACACACAGGTAGACTTGATGGAGATTAAACTACACACACACAGGTAAACTTGATGGAGATTAATTTGAATAAAATTTTGGATTGTTTACATGTTGTGTAATGCTAGTGACAGGGAGAGGGGTGGGGGTGGCGAGTGGTGGTTTAAGACAGGTCATGATGACATTAAGCCATTAGTTGCACAACTGCCATTCTTACAGGTAGGTGTGTAAGTGCCATGTGTACTACACAAACACACCTGAACACAATCACTCACCTGTCAACTGATCACTCACCCATCAAAAGTGAGTGAAAAACTTGGTACAATTCAATAATGTGAAGTGGTAAAGATTCATCATAAGGCTATATATGTGATTACAGGCTACATACAGACTATATATGGCTGATTACAGGCTACATACAGGCTATATATGTGATTACAGGCTACATACAGGCTATATGTGGCTGATTACAGGCTACATACAGACTATATGTGGCTGATTACAGGCTACATACAGCTATACGTGATTAAAAAACTTACTGGGTTGACAAAAAGTGGTTGAGCGTAAGGTTTTCCTGAAAGGGGTGAGCTGTGTCTGTAGGTTTGTCTGATGGGGCTTGATGGGGCAGACCGCTGGGGGCTTTGGCTGCCGTCACTGTCACTGCCAGAACTGCCAGGTGGTGTAGGTGGCAGCATGATGGACTCCAGCTTGACTGAAAGAGATGGTCAGTTGGTCAGGCATTGTGGCAGGGGGGGGGTCAGGTTAGTTTAGTCCAGGGGGTAAGGTAAGCTTAGTCCAGGGGGTCAGGTAAGCTTAGTCTAGTGGGTCAGGTAAGCTTAGTCCAGGGGGTCAGGTAAGCTTAGTCCAGGGGGTCAGGTAAGCTTAGTCCAGTGGGTCAGGTAAGCTTAGTCCAGAGGTCAGGTAAGCTTAGTCCAGTGGGTCAGGTAAGCTTAGTCCAGGGGGTCAGGTAAGCTTAGTCCAGGGGTCAGGTAAGCTTAGTCCAGGGGGTCAGGTAAGCTTAGTCCAGGGGGTCAGGTAAGCTTAGTCCAGGGGTCAGGTAAGCTTAGTCCAGGGGGTCAGGTAAGCTTAGTCCAGGGGGTCAGGTAAGCTTAGTCCAGGGGGTCAGGTAAGGTTAGTCCAGGGGGTCAGGTAAGGTTAGTCCAGGGGGTCAGGTAAGCTTAGTCCAGGGGGTCAGGTAAGCTTAGTCAAAACTACCTGTTTATAAAACTACCTGTTTATAAAACTACCTGTTTATAAAACTACCTGTTTATAAAACTACCTGTTTATAAAACTACCTGTTTATAAAACTACCTGCTTATAAAACTACCTGCTTATAAAACTACCTGCTTATAAAACTACCTGTTTATAAAACTACCTGTTTATAAAACTACCTGTTTATAAAACTACCTGTTTATAAAACTACCTGTTTATAAAACTACCTGTGTGTAAAACTACCTGTGTGTAAAACTACCTGTTTATAAAACTACCTGTTTATACAACTACCTATTTATAAAACTACCTGTTTATAAAACTACCTGTTTATAAAACTACCTGTTTATAAAACTACCTGTTTATAAAACTACCTGTTTATAAAACTACCTGCTTGTAAAACTACCTGTTTGTAAAACTACCTGTTTATAAAACTACCTGTTTATAAAACTACCTGTGTGTAAAACTACCTGTGTGTAAAACTACCTGTTTATAAAACTACCTGTTTATAAAACTACCTGTTTATAAAACTACCTGTGTGTAAAACTACCTGTTTGTTCGCTGGCTGGGTCTAGGCCCTCAGTCTCCTCCTCCTTGATCTCAATGTTGGAGCAGGTGATGGTCTCTGTGGTGAAGTAGGCGGGGGCTGATGTGGTGGTGACGATGATGGTGGGTTGCCGCTGGGAGGGGATGCTGAATGTGGTGGCTGTGGGTGCCGTCAGGAACGTGTCAGGGTTGGTCGTCTGCTCACACTTTACGTTGGTTTTCATCGTCAGGTCCAGGGCTGTGCTGTTGGAGAAAATATCCGCGTCCATTTCTGGAAGCAGGTAAAATAATGCAGGTGTGTGGTGACTTGTTGAGTACAGTGTTGATTTTAGACATGGTAATAGAATTTACATAGAAAATATATTTTTTATAAGTGTCCGTCCCTCCCCCCCTTGTGAAAGAAACACTGATTGAGAAACAAAAGGCAAGTGGTGGTGGGGATGGGGAACACATCTGTTGTTGGAATTTGGAACAGCAAGTGACCCACAGAGCCACATATATCTGTCAACAAGTTGGTTGGACGTAAGTGTGATGTGAGAATAACATCAGATTCGTGCGTGTGTTTGTGTGTGCGTGTATCAGCTGACCCACAGACTACCAGCCAACTGACCACAGCAGGTTCAATAGCTCTCACGTCACAGGCACATTAAGCAGACGTCAACGATTAAACTTCTGACGTCATTGTTTATTAGCGGGGTCGTTTGGGTGACGTTTTTCTACAACAACGAGGCCACGCACTGATAATCGAAACATCGTAAACAAAATACGACGATCCTCCTGGCACGGAATTTGAACTTTTTGATAAGATACATACATTAGTATTGGTATTGCGGTTAGGATTAGAGCTGTGCCATAACTTATAGGGCGGGATGTAGCAGAAGACATTAGCCGTCTGCTGACACAGTACGACAGACATGCAGCAGCAACTCACAGAAATATGTACATGTGTACACAACTACACACGACTAGACTCGTGTACACACAACTAGACTCAGATTTAAATAAAGCACCATGTGCATGTATCCACACGCGTCCACATTACTAGACTCCACATGTATCCACACGCGTCCACATTACTAGACTCCACATGTGTCCACATTACTAGACTCCACATGTGTCCACATTGCTAGACAGATTTTTTAAAAAAGATGAAGGAAGTGTTAACCTTACGACCTGCTGAACTTTACATACATTTACAGGTAAACACAAGAAAATGTCATGTGACCTGCTGTTGGGTCACGTGACCTGGGTATATCTTGACATAGTTAACAAAACGTGCTCCACTCACCAGGGGTCACCAAAAGTCCAAATTTGGGGGGAGTGGGGGGGGGGGGGGTCAGCCAATACGTCAGATATCAATGTAAGCCGTCATAATGGCCGGCTAGACAACTCGAGTGACTGAAACATTTCACGTATCTCTGACGTCTGCTACCTTTAACGGCCACAACTAAACCCATTTTATGTAAAGGGGGAGTCAACTCCCTAGGGGCGTGGTCAGCAGTTGTCTGTCTGGAGGGGTGTGGGGGGGGGGACAGCAGTTGTCTGCCATGTGGTCAGCAGGGTACTAGACGGATTCGATCCACAACCAAAGACAGACTGGTGTGCGTCACTTGATTTACACGCCAGTGACGAGAACGCGATTGGACGAGAATCTCGGGGGGGGGGGGGGGGGTTCCCTGGGTAATTCGGCCAGACACATCTGTTTGACGAGGCAAAATTAATTACGTTACGCAAGCCTCAGGGTGGATTACTCCCCTTTAGGTTTAAAATTGAGTCCCGGTTATTTCCCTGTACCAGATCAATGTTACCGGCCTTGAAATGTTCCCATCGGTTTAAAGATGCAACGAGCGTGGGAGGTTTAAATGTGGTTTATAATATTAGCTGATTCAGCAGAAACTGTGAAATTCAAATAGTTCTTATAAAGAAATGTGGTCACGGGACAGAAAGATCGCTCTCCGTGGTCAAGTGACATACGATCACGCTACGTGACAGATGATAGTTTTACGTGGGCGTGTGACAGAGGACCTGACGTCATCTGTTTGTTTCCATTGATAAAACATCGATCAATGAACGGAAGCAGAAGATGACGCGCTCCCCCGGCGATGACATCAGCAGGAAGCTCTACTAAATTATCATGGCTGCCCACAGGAAAGTGGGCGTGCTACGAACTTGGTGTCATCCAGCAAATGGTTTTAGTGAGGGGTCACGTGTGGACTGGCAATACAGATCTTTGATGGCAGTAGCACCGTGTCAGTAGCACCGTGACAGTAGCACAGTGACAGTAGCACCGTGACAGTAGCACCGTAACAGTAGTACCGTGACAGTAGCACCGTGACAGTAGCATCGTGCACCGTGACAGTAGCACCGTGTCAGGAGCACCGAGACATGAACAACTTGTCATTCAGCCAACAGGAGCTGCTCTCTACAAAAAATACCAACTGGCAACTCAGCCTAGCTCCATAACGGGACCAAATGTTTTCATCAACTCAACGATTCGGGCACTCGTTGGACTTCTGGCCAAGACCGGAAGTAGTTTCCTGTAGCAGCTGACCAGTCCGAAGACTTAGAAAACTTGATAGATTTGAGCAGGGCGTGCAGGTTGGTTAGGCTTCAACCAACGTGATCGTCAGATTGCTAAAACTGTTTGATGCTAGGAGCTGTAACTACAGCCAGCCATAGCTAGTTGGGACGGGAGACAGCCATAGCTAGTTGGGACGGGAGACAGCCATAGCTAGTTGGGACGGGAGACAGCCATAGCTAGTTGGGGCGGACAGACAGACAGCCATAGCTATTTGGGACAGCCAGCCATAGCTAGTTGGGACAGCCAGCCAGCCATAGCTAGTTGGGACAGACAGCAAGCCATAGCTAGTTGGGACAGACAGCCAGCCATAGCTAGTTGGGACAGACAGCCATAGCTAGTTGGGACAGACAGCCAGCCATAGCTAGTTGGGACAGACAGCCATAGCTAGTTGGGACAGACAGCCAGCCATAGCTAGTTGGGACAGCCAGCCAGCCATAGCTAGTTGGGACAGCCAGCCATAGCTAGTTGGGACGGGAGACAGCCATAGCTAGTTGGGACGGGAGACAGCCATAGCTAGTTGGGGCGGACAGACAGACAGCCATAGCTATTTGGGACAGCCAGCCATAGCTAGTTGGGACAGCCAGCCAGCCATAGCTAGTTGGGACAGACAGCAAGCCATAGCTAGTTGGGACAGACAGCCAGCCATAGCTAGTTGGGACAGACAGCCATAGCTAGTTGGGACAGACAGCCAGCCATAGCTAGTTGGGACAGCCAGCCAGCCATAGCTAGTTGGGACAGACAGCCAGCCATAGCTAGTTGGGACAGCCAGCCATAGCTAGTTGGGACAGACAGCCATAGCTAGTTGGGACAGACAGCCAGCCATAGCTAGTTGGGACAGCCAGCCAGCCATAGCTAGTTGGGACAGCCAGCCATAGCTAGTTGGGACAGCCAGCCATAGCTAGTTGGGACAGACAGCCATAGCTAGTTGGGACAGACAGCCAGCCATAGCTAGTTGGGACAGCCAGCCAGCCATAGCTAGTTGGGACAGCCAGCCATAGCTAGTTGGGACAGCCAGCCATAGCTAGTTGGGACAGCCAGCCATAGCTGATGTCAAGTTGACGTGTGAGTTGTACCGTGCGGGACCAACCCTCACCTTCCGTACTGTTGAGTCCGTCCATGGGTGAGCCCAGTTCGTTGTCGTTGATGCTGTAGCTGTGTTCGGCCTTGATGCAGGGCGGGTTCATGGCGTCGGTCATCATCTTGTCGTTGAGCACAGGGTCATCCAGGAACGTGTTCAGCCAGTCGTTTTCGTAGCCTTCGTCTTCGGGGGTCGGGAAGCCGCCCTGTGGGGGTCAAAGGTAAGAGGTTAGTTGTGCTAGGGGAGGTTTAACTACTGTGGGGGGGGGCACTAGCTCTATCCATTATAGATGTATGTATTGTTTAACTAAAGCCCGGCAGTCTGTTGGCTAACCTAAGACTTTAATCAGTAGCGTAGCGGGGGGGGGGACGACATATGTCCCCGGGCGCCGACCTTAGGGGGCGCCAAAATGGGTTGGAAAAATAAATTGAAAGGTTGAGGGGGGGTGCAAATCGAAAGTTTGAGGGGGGGGGGTGCAAATCGAAATCTCGAGGGGGGGGGGGGGTGCAAATCGAAACGTTTGTCCCCGGGCGCCGGGAAGGGTCGCTACGCCACTGACTTTAATACATCAATTATAACCGAGGCAATGGGCATGTAAACATCAGACTAGTTGACTAGAGTTAGTCTAAAAACACTTGAACCATCCCGAGCCTAAAGAATAATGCCAGTGTTACAAGAGTGTTGTAAAGTGCCATCACGTGGGGTATTGCACCCCCGCCACCCACAAGGTTTTACAAGATGGCAGCAGACCAGTCAGGCGAGACGAGCGAACGGTAGCTGTTCACTTGTACAGTGTACACATCCTCACCATACAACATTTGCAACAGCCACGCCCACCTGTGTGTAACTGTGGGTCATGGAGTTGTAACTAGCTGGATGTGGACGGCTCTCTGCTGCTACACGGGGTGGTGTGGCTCATTTAAGGGACTACAGCTAGAGTGTAAACCTACAGCTAGAGTGTCAACCTACGGCTAGAGTGTCAACCTGCTGCTAGAGTGTCAACCTGCTGCTAGAGTGTCAACCTGCAGCTAGAGTGTAAACCTGCAGCTAGAGTGTCACAGTTTCTGAATGCTATTTGGCTTTGTCATGGTAATTGAAGGAATTGGAAGCTGTCAAAAAATATACAGACGCCGATTCAACTGCTTACAACCTCCGGTAAAACTAACACGCAGGTCAAGCTCTTTTCTCCAACTGACCAACTACTTGATGGTCACTGATATTCCCATCACTGACCAAACTAGTGTTTTAATTAAGTGGGTACTTATTACAAATGACAAGCTATGACTGAAACTGTGTCATCTATAAATAGCAGGATTGATAGGCACGCAGTGAGATTTGTCACTATGAAAGAAACTCAATGGGTGTACAGTCCCAATACCGTGGGACATGCCCCCCCCCCCCCACATGATGTCGTGACGACACCACTGGGACCCAGGTAAAAATAGCACACGATAAGATTTCCACACTCTGGGACCAGTCAGTAGAACAACTACCGTGTGAACCCCACCCAGACGGAAACTGGGACAGGATCACTACGCCGTACGGTTTCACCACTTCCGGGTTGGGTTCTGGGGAACAGGTAGCACTGACATCCGGAAACACAGCACACCGGTGCCTTACAGAAGATAAGTCTCCCAAACAGCACATACAAGGTGTGTGCCCCCCCCACCCCACCAACATCCATCTGACCACACCGACATGTCTGAGACCGCCAAGTCCTGCCGGTCAGTCAGTCATTAGAGGCATTAGACCGCCCCGTGTCAAAAACTGATAAAATAAACTTGTAACTTGTAGCACTCGGGGTTACAAGAAAACCAAGGCCTTATTTCAACACTGAAATCGTCCCTATCTAAATTGTGGGCCAATACCGTGTTGTTTAAATTGTGGGCCAATACCGTGTTGTTTAAATTGTGGGCCATACCGTGGCTCTAGTGGCCCCTAGATGGCCGACTACAAGAGGGACATGTTCGAGTACCGAGTGCATTCAGGTAATTGAGGTGTTCAATGGCTGTCTCAGGTACCTGTGCTCTACAGGTGTGTAGACACGGTCTGTTGGGGAGGGCCGTTAATGTCGTGCTAGTACAGACACAAAACTCCCAGGTCGTCTTCTTCCCCCCCCCCCCCCACACACATACACACTTAAGAACAGTAAAACATGCAACGTATATTCACATTCATCATGCACACGACTCAAAACATCGACAACATGAGAGAATGGACTTTACACAGACAAGCAAGGGACATTATCGAAGCAAGGGACATTACCGACAAAAGCAAGGGACATTACCGACAAAAGCAAGGGACATTACCGCCACACACAAGGGACATTACCGCCACAAGGTAAGGACATTACCGCCACAGACAAGGGACATTACCGACAAAAGCAAGGGACATTACCAACATAACAAGATGTGAACTACGCCGTCAGCACAAATCCATCAAGGGACTAGACACATGAATGCAATAAATTACCGACTCACTCAAAGTTGGAGCGCTAACGCCGAATTATTACATAATAGTTCTATGACTTTAAACTTGAGAAAGTGAGACTATCATTATCTATTAAATGTTGAAAAAATAAGACCATGTTTAAGATGAATGTAAAATAAAGACCATTATCTGTTCAGTTAGAGACTGGTGTGTTGTGGTGTATCTGATCACTATCCGAGCCTGGGGGCGAGGTCTACCTGTGGTTTATCCCCGTGTAAGCCCAGCCCGTCACACCGTGTCACGTTATTTGTTTCATCTATTTGTTCACTGGCCGGCTTGTGTGTAAAAACCTGGCTAACTGGGGGATGAACATTTACACGTTCATGTGAAACACGCAAGTTCATTAGATGGGACCGACCTTGACATTTACTTCATCATTACAAGCGTAAAGCACTAACCTGAAAGGCTAACATAAGTAGTGGTCGTCGCCCCCCCCCCCCCCCCCCCCCATAAAACTTCTTAATCACTTTATGCTTTCATGCTGTTGATACTGATATAATTGTACATTTGTATATACTGATATATATATATATATATATATATATATATATATATATTTATATATATATATATATATATATATATATATATATATATATATATATATATATATATATATATATATATATATGTGTATGTGTTTTATGTAAACATTTAAATCATTTTTTAAACTCTAGCCTTAACTCTATTGTAACGAACGTCTTTAGACCCGCATTGCTTAAAAATATGACCGAAATTCTCTCAAGTCAACCATAACGGGTTTTCGCTTCCGTGTTACCATGGCAACCGTCAAATGATCTGGTGGTTATACAATGGCAGCTCGACAAAGATGCGTCTATAACAGCTGGTGAGGGGTGGAAGTTATCGTCATGGGTTGGGTGAGGGTTGGAGGTTACCAAGTCATTGGGTGGGTGAGGGGTGGAAGTTCATTTGACTTACATTAAGTCATACACATTGTCACAGCATAAGTAGTGCACCCCCCCCCCCCCCACACACACACACAGACAGACAACACAAAAGCACACAAACATACACACACACATTGACGCCTTCTATAGACAAGCAAGTTTGGTAATCTGTGTGTAGCGCTAAATCAAGAAATTTGATGCACAAATGGCAGAACACTATAAATTTTGTCCTATGTCCTGTAGTTTGTCTAGTTGTTAACGGGACGTAAACATGTCTCACATCGGTAACGTCCCTTTATGTGCAGTAGCTATTAACTCTTTTGTGAGGGAGCAATGTTGAATGTCTGAAAAATTGCAATGTAAACAAATAAAACATTCAAACATTGACATTGACCCGAGTCTAGTTGTCAACAGGAGAAAATTTACATGCATTGTCTTACACTCATAA